ATACGAAAAACAAATGAAAATCACACTTTTACCAAATTGGAAGTTGAATTATGTTTAATAATACGTATGTAAGCGTTCAATGATACCAAAACCAGCCATATACAAATAAATAATAATAGTCAAAGCGGTTTTATTACAAGTACGTTACATACATACATAGTATAATGCGAAAGGACTTTTCCCCGACTATATTTGGTTATAATAAAATAATAATTCTTTGCCTGATCACATTTGGCTATTGTTTATTTTATATACAGAAAAATATTTTAATATTACACTCATATATTCCGATTATTTTAAATCTCATATACGAGTAATAAGGGACAAACTTAGAACTCCCGAGCGTACGGCGCGTAGCGTTCCGCGCGCGCCTAAAAGAGCCAACAGACCACCACAGACGGGACCCTATAGGGCTGATGTTCAGCCGGGGTTGCGGGTTAAGCGCCATTAGTCATCGCGGCTTCGGCCCAGAGCAGGACAAGGAACGGGGGTCTTTCAGTCAGTAAGAGTCTGACACTCTCTCTCTCTCGCCAAATCTGGGTGGGAGAAGTAATTTGATGATTTTCCCCTGACAAAAAAAGGAACGAACTTAATGTACTCACAATATTTGGGGACACCAGTTCCTCCTTTAAGACGAGACAAGCGAAGCACGAGGGTTAATACAGGGGCACCTGCAAGGGATGCTGGCGGAAATGCAGTAACATAACCAGGTTCAGCATAGTAAGAGTCTGACACTCCCACCTAGGGCGGGAGAAATCTTTTTAGGGACCTAGCTGTAACTGTCTATGTAGAACATGTGTGACATATACATGTCATAGTATTGTCTGAGCAAAATCACCGCTTTATAAGCCTGATATTTTTAAACATTTTCAATGGCGGTCATCAAATGTCTCAATCTAAATCTATTGAGAAGAAGTATCCCTAAAAACCCCGTTCCTTCTCCTGCAATATTACGCTTCCACTTACAACCCTAGCTGGATGCTTTTAAACTGTTTTTTTTTGCCGGGGTGTAAAAATCAGAAAGCTTCTCTAGCCAAGGGTGGTGCAAGAGGGAGTGTCAGATACGAACTAAAAACCACCCAATTCCATCTCCTACTCCAAGCCGGAGCCACGGTACGTTATTGTGACCTTCAGATAATGCCAACATATATCTGAAGGTCAAAAACCCAACTGTGGACTGGACTGTTGCGGCTTGTTGATATGACGCAGTGAGACATATAGTAGAACAATACAAAATTTATGAAAAAGCAGGAAAACCTCACAATGATACCGCTCGGAGAATTATAATAATGCAACAAAATAATATTCAAAAGTACTAACCAGGCAATATACTTATTATAATAATTATATCAAAATATATACTAGTGTTATAAAATTATAGTTTTTATTTTTATGGTATAAGTCGGCAAACGAGCAGACGGATTGCCTGATGGTAAGCAATCGGCGTCGCCCATGGACACCCGCAACACCAAAGGAGTTACGAGTGCGTTGCCGGCCTTTTGGGGATAGGGGTTGCGGATATAAGGATCGGGAAGGGATAGGGGAAGGGGAGGGATTGGGCCTCCTGTAACCTTACTCACACGGCGAAACACAACGCTGTGGGTTGTTTCACGCCGGTATTCTGTGAGGCCGTGGTATCACTCCTGACCCATTCGTGCCGAAGCTTGGCTCTCCCACACTTTAAATTTATTTATAACCAAACTAATATTATAAATGCGTAAGTAACTGACTGTCTGTCTGTCTTTTCTTCACGCCTAAACTAACCAATTTCAATGAAATTTGGTACAGACATAGTTTGGAACTCGAGAAATGACATAGGATAGTTTTTATACCAAAAATCTGCAGAAAGTCACAGATCCACGCGAACCGAGTCGCGGGCGAAGCTAGTACAAAAATCATTGTTCCATTCAAACCAGTAGTTCCGAAGATAAACGCGTTCAACGTGCAACATAGGGTTTCACATTCCCATTTGTTTTAAATATATAACTGCGGACTACTACTAACTACTACGGACGGCGAGTAAGGGTAGTTTGCCGCCCGACCAGAACCAGACCCGAGCGTACGGCGCGTAGCGTACCGCGCGCGCCTCAAAGAGCCAATAGACCACCACAGACGGGGCCCTACAGGGCTGATGTTCAGCCGGGCATGCAGGGCAAGCGCAATTATGCACCGCGGCCTCGGCCCAGAGCAGGAGAAGAAACGGGGGGGGGTTTTAGTCAGTCAGAGTCTGACACTTCCTCCCGCCATACCCTGGGAGGAGGAAGTCATTTGAAGATTTTCCCCCTCTCAAAAAAAAAATCATTGCAAGATATCAAAGTAATGTAGTTATTATGAAAACTACCTTGAAAAATTGCCTGGTCTAATGTGAAAACTTTAACTTTCATTCTGTTTTGAACTACTGTTAATATTATTGTCGTGTGTATTATTCAGCATATGAAATTTCCTTTCAATTATTAGTCACATAATAGTAAGCCGAAGCTACAGTCTGACATCGCGTCGCGTACACACTCAGACCATTAATTAACAACATTGAACATGAAGGTTTTATTCATTTTATTTTTGTGCTTCTTGATGGTGTCAACAGAAATATTCGGTGGACATCGACGGAATTTTATAAGTAAGTACAATTTGTTATACTTAAACTAAAAAATAATCTATACTAATATTATAAAGAGGTAAAATTTGTAAGCTTGTATGTAGGGGGTAATCTTTGGAACCGCTGGTCGGATTGCCAAAATTCTTTCACTGATAGATAGCTACAATGTTCCTGAGGGATATAGGCTAAAAAACATGACAGCAGCGAGTGAAACCGCGCGAAATTTGCTAGTAACTGATAACCTAATTTGTCGTGGTGGCCCGGCGGTTAAGGCGCCTAAACTTCTCATGCATGCGGACCCAAAACCTGGTAAACTACCAATGTGACTTATTCCGAGTTACAATGTACTTTTGTATGATTATTTAGACACCACTGACATACGGCGAGGGCAACATCGCGAGGAAACCTGGACTTATTGTACTTACGGGTACTAGGTATCACGACTATGTGAAATCGAATGTTTGTAAATGCATCCACAATACAGAAGAAAATATTACTATGGGTCAACATTTTTTAAATAAAAAGAAAATATATTTTTATTTTATTTTTTTTTTTTTTTTTTTTTTATATATTGGAACAAACAATTAAAAAATGAATTTATTTTTGCAAATAGGCTATAAAACGGTAGTTTTACACGTCAATTTATATATATGAAAAACTAGATGAAGCCGGGATATTAAATACACTTCTTTCGATTTTCCACAGGGCCTCGACAGAATTTGTATCCATCGAGTCGTATCAGACGTATCTACGTAGCCGGTGGAACGACAAAGAAACCACCCCCGAAGAAGAATGTGGTATCAAGAATTACTTCACCTTTTCAGACAACTCAAGAACACATTAAAATTACGACATTACAATAATTTGAATTATCTATTTTATTAAGTGTGGGAGAGCCATGCTTCGGCACGAATGGGTCGGCTCGACCGGAGTGATACCACGGCCTCACAGAAAACCGGCGTGAAACAACCACAGTGTTGTGTTTCGCCGTGTGAGTGAGGTTACCGGAGGCCCAATCCTTCCCCTTCCCAATCCGTCCCCAGTTCCTAAATCTCCAAATCCCTAATCCAACGCACTCGTAACTCCTCCGTTACGGGTGTCCATGGGCGGCGCTGATTGCTTACCATCAGGTAATCCTTTGCCAACCTATTACATAAAAAAAAATCTAACCTTAATCCTTTATTACAATTTCTATTCTGACATTTTCAATTAATCATTGCCTTATTATTTTATTGACTTTATAACTATTTAAATTTCTAACAAAACTATTTTAAAAAGTGCCTGTATATTATTTTTGTTTACTCTGTCATTATCATTAACTATTTATTATTAAATTAATCTTGTAAGGGCTGACTTTTCAAAAGTCAGATAAATGTTATCAGAGGAATAAAATTGTTGCTGTCACTGTCTTACACAAACATTCTGACGCGACAGCATAGTAATTATTTCGCAGATTACTTGAAAAATCGTTATGGACCTGACATCTGTTAGCTTGTAAGATCATTTTGTGTTACCACGATCAACACCACAATCCGAGCATCAGCCGGAACATGTCATACTCTGAACAAGGAGCTTGGTTTTTTTTTATATGTATAGCGACATCTATGTTTTGAGGCGATGCATGAATTCAAATGTATTAGGTATTTAAAAATGTATTGTATTTATCATAATTTCTTGACTTACGAAAAAATCCCGCTCCGGTTTACTCGACTACAAGACAACGTCTCTTAAATGTTACATCATATTATACATATAGGTAGTTATAGGAGCAAAGTCATTAAAAAATATAATTAGTTAGTTTCCTAGGTCGAAAATAAATTAATTCGAAGCTTCAATACAATAAAATATTGAAAAATGACTATAAGTATAGTCATTTTTCAATATTTAGTTTTTCGTTTTTTCGTAGAAATCGATTCACATTTTCGATATTTTTAAATTTTTTTTAAGAAATAAGTAAGTTAATAGACGCAAAAGTACTATGACGTCATAATTAGGAGTTTCATACAAATTTCATTGGAAAATATAGTTTTTGACATATGGTAAAAGTATTGAATTTTACTAGGTGGAAAATACCGTATTTTACCTCGAAAAATACAAATGAATAATTATGAATTTTTGTTTATCACATCGCTACTTGTCTGAATTCAAATCCACTGCTCAGGTAGATCATAGAATAGCATATCCGCGAGTCGAACACAATAGTACATATAAAATCAATGTTAAATGTCATAAAATTATAATAAAATGTCAATCACATATTTTAACTTTTCCAATTATATTTAAATAGCTTTTATAGAATTTGTCTACTGAATCTGAGATGCAAAGTAGCAAAGAAAAAATTCGACATGATCAAAAACGACAGTACCGCCATCTAGGATGTGCAAAAGTTTTATTTCTCACTTACTTGTCACTGTTGGGGGCAGCCAGCAGCTCCGTGGCTCGAGTTATGAAGACCTGCACTAAGGATCCAAGGTTTCCAGTCTGTGGATTGTTTTGGAGAAACTTCTGGAGTAGGGCTTCCGTGCTGCTGTCAAACATGAGCTGCTCCTCACTGGAATAGATAATACAGTTCCGTCAGACGTTGTGCATTCTAGGTAAGGGATAAGCAGTAAGGGTGAGCGGTTTGAAAAATATTAAACGGCTTATGAAATTAAGCCATGACAATTTGCCGGATACCGGATATGTACTTTCTTTGATTATATAGACACCACTTGCGTACGATGAAAAAAACATGGACTTGTTATTTCTTATAATTATTTTGAAATCGCCTTGAACAAGCATGGTGATGAGTGCTCAATCCTTGTCCAGGCACTTATAGGCTGATGATGATGATCATGATGGACATTGTCTATTTAAGCAATCTCATGGTACCAGAGTAAAATAGGTACATTCGTCATTATTCGTTACTTAATGACATAAAAGAAAGGCATGATCCATCAAAGGAGGTTCGTGGTTACTCCGGGAGCCGGTCTAAATCCTCGCCAACCAAACTCATGCTAATATTAAAAGCAAATAAGTTACGGTAATAGTTTGTGTTAATAAATTAAAAAAAATCGTAGGTAGCATAATCGCTTATCACCAAACTAAAATTATTAATGCGAAAGTAACTCTGTCTCTCTGTCTTTTCTTCACGCCTAAACTACAGAACCGATTTCTGTAAAATTGGTACAGGCATAGTTTGGAACTCGAGAAAGGACATAGGATAGTTTTAAACAAAACACTGCAGGAAATCACTATTCTACGCGAACAAAGTCGCAAGCAAAAGCTAATAAGGACATAAAAGATAGGCATGATCCATCGTAGGTAGCATCATCAGCTTACCACAAGGCGAGATAGCAGCCAAATGCCCGCCAGTGCCCATGGCAAAATAGTCAAGGTGTAATTGGGTAGTTTCCTAGGTCAACAATAAATTAATTTGACGTTTCAATACAATAAAACATTGAAAAATAAATATACTTTCATTCATCGATCGATCGATACACTAAATTTTAGATATTTTTTAGCAAATTTTTAAGGAATAAGTAAGCTTTTTGACCTAAAAATACTATGACGTCATAATTCAAATTATTGTTTTTGACATTTGGATAAAAGTATTGAATTTGACTAGTTGGAAACTACCGTATTGAGTTATGGGCTCCACAAAACAATTAGCTATTCATTTTTATATTAGAGAATAACAAGTATATGCGCCATAAAACATCACGCTAACACCAATAGGAGTAGGTACAACTAAAGATAGATAAAATCACGCAATTAATATAAAAACAACACTTTTAACTAACAGTTTGATGTAAACCTTATCAGAGGCTATATGGAAACATTATATTTTAAAGTAGGTATGTTTGTATAAAAATAAAAAATGGCGGCATTGCACAATCTGATAAAACATTAACAGTACCTAATATTATGTACAAAACGCACAAATTAGCAGATCCTGAACTATTCCGAGTCTACTAAAGTATTCAAGCCAATGATTATTATATAAGTAAAAAGGTGTAGATAGGTTACAAGCGCTCAGCAAGTGACACATTAAAGTGTGAATAACTAGTCAATTTTTTTCATATTTGTCTCTTTTTCACTCGCGATTATTGAATCATGCCATCTCACTTTAACGTGTATCATACGAATTGTTCATGTGTGCATCAGTGTGCCGTTTTTGAAAATCGAATGTTGTTTATGTAACCTATTTACACCATTTTACTTATAATATCATTGAGTCAAACTATTCAGAGATCTACTAAAGTAGTCAACTCATGTTATTGATGAAGCCTAAGTATGGGAGAGCCATGCCTCGACAAAAATAGGCCGGCTCGACAGGGGTGATACCACGGCCTCAAAGAAAACTGGCGTGTAACGACCACTGTTCTGTTCTTCTATTTTTCTTATACTATATTAATGTATGTCTGTGTGTCCTCAAGCAAGGTTCTTAAGTCTACAAAATACCTAAATACGTTTAAACTACTTACGCGCTCGAAGGTGGATTGATGTTGAAAGCCAGCAACTGATTCCAGAACGGATCATTCGGACAGATGACGTCAGCTGAACAGAATCTCGTCAGCAGCTCGTTTGACGATAGCTCGGAGTATCTGCTTACAGCTACACCCATTTTGGTCTGGAAAATACATAGGCAACGTATTAAGTTTTTTTATCACGTCACTATACGGTTTACGTATGAATGGGTCGGAGACGTGGGTAGCGTTGCCAGGCGTCCGGATAAAGCCGGACATAGTTAGGCTTTTTGATTGCTAGTCAGGCCAAAATAGGCGGTGTCCGGCCTGTCCGGCTTTTATTAGGCTTTTTACCTAAACTTTTCACGATCGTAAACGAGTTAAACGAAACACCGAACATGGCTGAGCGTTTATTAATTATTTCATAAGAATTCAACAAGATTTATGACAATAATCAACAATGCTTGATTTACATCAAATGTTGTCGTACCTATTATACTGAGATACTACTAATCCTTAAGAATGTAGGGTGTCCGGCCTTTTTAGCCAAATATCCGGCTAAACGGGCTGGTCTGTCTGGCTATAAGGCATAGCGACCTGGCAACCCTAGACGTGGGTATACCGGAGTCGTAACACGGCCTCATAGAAAAACGGCGTGAAACTATATACCTCCGCCTCCCCCCATCCCTTCCCTTATCCCCAAAATGTCGGTAACACATTCGCAACTCATCCGTTGTTGGTCCATGGTGGAATCACTTACAATGAGGTAATCCGCCTGCTTGTTTGCTGACCTATCACATAAAAAAAATACAACCTGTTCCATCTTTACACTCATACTTGCCACACCCACAACCACTTCACTTCAATTGATAAAGTATGATAGATACAAATAGTTTAGATATTTAAACCACTTGTAACAATTACTGTTTTCAACTATCAATACGGAGGAAAAGCATTTATTTCTATTGAGTAGGTACTTTTATAAGTAAAAAATAAATAATTTCGATTTTCAAATTCAATAAAACTATAAAAAACTAATCAGTTTTATGTATCGATTTTACAATACAAATAAATTTTGAAGATTTTTTTTTATAATAACTATCGTGAGACATACTAAATTAACTAAAATTCGCGGGTTACTCACGTGTAAATGATGAGAAAAGCTCTACTAGTTTCGAACCACAGAGGGGTTCTTCCTCATGAGCAGCGTGCGCGGACGCGGCGACGTCGCGCAGCCTACTGGTTAGCGTTGGCGCCTGCATCGCTGTTGATGGTTGCGCTGCGGCGAGTCCAACGCGCCATCTGCCGGATACCACGCGCGTTTGCTGCCATCTCCGGCGGCGGCGCGTGTGACGATGTTGAGGCGCACGGTACGTTCACCAGTGGCGCGGGTAGTGGGTTCGATTCCGGGCCCGGCACAAAGTCTGTGTTACATATGACGCTTACTGTGTCACACTCCAGACTGGATACGCTTCGGACCGACGTAGTCTCCAAGCTCGGCTTCCACGCGGGTGGCAATGCCCAGCCACCATCCCTGTTGAAGCACGGACGTCGGCTAATCTCGATGGCCTCTCGCACTTTTCGCGGAACGAAGTATTTCTCCCTCGCTAGTACGGAGACCTTATCAAAACGTATGAAGTGAGCCGCATCCGTGCCGCAAACATGTTCAGCCACAGCCGATGCCTGGATGTCCATCTTCTTCACGCTACGTATGTGTTCCTTTAGCCTGGTTGTGATGTTGCGCCGAGTTTCTCCGATGTAACTTGAGCCACAGTCGCAAGGTATAATGTACACACCGGGCACAGCTAGTGGATCCTTATCCTTTGGCGAGCGTAGCAGTTGTCTCAGCTGACCGGGTGGGCGGAAGATCGTCCTGATGCTATATTTACGTTGCAGCAGGTGTCCGATTCTGTCGGTTACTCCTTTCACGTAGGGTAAGAACGCTGGAGTCCGCTCCGCAACTGCTGGTCGCTTCCTACTCGAGCTGCTCGCTAGTCGAGTACATTGACGCCAGTTGTATCCATTGTTCTCCAGTACCCTTTTTAAATGGTGAAATTCGTCGGTGAAACCGACACACACAGACCGATACTTACGAGCTGACTCACATCATCATCCCTCCCACCTAGCCGCTGTCCCGCGGACTTTGATAAACCGGGCGCTGAGTCTATGCGATCCACAGTACATTGACGACGAATTTCACCATTTAAAAAGGGTACTGGAGAACAATGGATACAACTGGCGTCAATGTACTCGACTAGCGAGCAGCTCGAGTAGGAAGCGACCAGCAGTTGCGGAGCGGACTCCAGCGTTCTTACCCTACGTGAAAGGAGTAACCGACAGAATCGGACACCTGCTGCAACGTAAATATAGCATCAGGACGATCTTCCGCCCACCCGGTCAGCTGAGACAACTGCTACGCTCGCCAAAGGATAAGGATCCACTAGCTGTGCCCGGTGTGTACATTATACCTTGCGACTGTGGCTCAAGTTACATCGGAGAAACTCGGCGCAACATCACAACCAGGCTAAAGGAACACATACGTAGCGTGAAGAAGATGGACATCCAGGCATCGGCTGTGGCTGAACATGTTTGCGGCACGGATGCGGCTCACTTCATACGTTTTGATAAGGTCTCCGTACTAGCGAGGGAGAAATACTTCGTTCCGCGAAAAGTGCGAGAGGCCATCGAGATTAGCCGACGTCCGTGCTTCAACAGGGATGGTGGCTGGGCATTGCCACCCGCGTGGAAGCCGAGCTTGGAGACTACGTCGGTCCGAAGCGTATCCAGTCTGGAGTGTGACACAGTAAGCGTCATATGTAACACAGACTTTGTGCCGGGCCCGGAATCGAACCCACTACCCGCGCCACTGGTGAACGTACCGTGCGCCTCAACATCGTCACACGCGCCGCCGCCGGAGATGGCAGCAAACGCGCGTGGTATCCGGCAGATGGCGCGTTGGACTCGCCGCAGCGCAACCATCAACAGCGATGCAGGCGCCAACGCTAACCAGTAGGCTGCGCGACGTCGCCGCGTCCGCGCACGCTGCTCATGAGGAAGAACCCCTCTGTGGTTCGAAACTAGTAGAGCTTTTCTCATCATTTACACGTGAGTAACCCGCGAATTTTAGTTGATTTTTTTTTATGAAATAAGTATTTATGCTATTTGAAGTTAAACATAAAATGTGACATCATTCATTTATTTCTTTATTGGTTTACCAAAAATTGTTTTTATCATAACATAGTCTCCTACAAATAACATAGAAAACTATTGATTCAACAATTTGAAATAAGAACTGAATGTCATAAATATTCCAGCTCAGCCTGCCATTTAACATGCTTTGTTTAAAGCCTAGGGCACATCCTTGTGCAGCCTATTCAATTCAAACAAAAAACATTCAAATATTTCCGTGTTATAATATTAGGATAGATATAAGTAAAAAAGATAAAATGACAGATTGAAGGTGGTAAATCAATCATATGGCTTTGCCCACTTTAATTAGTAGTTAATAGGTAATTAGGTTACCACTGAGAGCTTAGTTATAAGTACCTTTTTACATCAAGATTTATTTAAAATCTGTCTAATGTTTTGTCATGCAATTGACATGTTCAGTCTTGTTTTTTTTAGGTATGTTTATTGTCCAATGACTACTCCCACCCTTTGTAGGGCGACAGGAAGAGCCAGACTCTTACTGACTAAAAACCAGCCCATTCTTTCTTTTGCTCTGTGCCGGAATAATGTTTCATTATTGTGGTTGCACCCACTACACCAGAAATCAGTTCTAATATGAGAGTTTGAGGTACATACATACATTCACCTGAATAATTGATTTGTTATAACCACTCAACAGCCCTTACAGAGCCATAAAATACTTCTAGCATTACAACTTACTGTTACTTAGTTATTCATACAAATTGATTGATATTTGGGCTAGTTATAAAGTATTGAACATATTAACTCATCATTTAACCTATTCCTAAGCTATTGGTTATCAGATTTTCAAGCCTGTTAACAGTATCACAGCAACCAAGAAACTAGAAAATTAGTACTAATTCGTCAGTGCGACGATGTCTTAAAAACGCAGTTAACAAATAAGTATCAATGTAAAATAAAGTGTTTATGTGTCGGCCAAGTATTTAAACAATAAAAAGATGTTATTAAACAATAAAAACCGTATCGTTATAGAGTAAACAAATGTAACAACAGCTTTAATTCAACGTTAATGACAATCAACAAATTAATCACGATTATTTACACAATACGTCATTTTTATTTAATTATAAAGGTATTATGACTCAACACTATGCTTACCTCTTATTTTCACACGTTTTAATATAAATATAACATTAAATAAGTGAATAAAATTGTAAATTTTTAGCACAATTTGTTTTTAAGCCACGAAATCATTGCCGACTTGTCAACAAACTGACGTTGGCTAAGATGACAATGACAATTTTATATTCATTTCATTCATTCGACAGAACATTCGATCATTTCATTCGTCAGAATCGAATGATATTTTTAATACACGAATTTACGGTTTTTGCAAGCACTAGTATTTTTAGGTTTATACGGTAGATAAGCGTTTTTTCATTTTTATCAAGGCCAGAAGCCTCGATGTGTATAACTAAAGAATAAAAGACGCTTAGTTGTCGGTCTCTTTATTTCGTCATCAATATTGACCAACTTAGTTTAGAAACAGTAAACAGCGAATATTTAAAATCTTGGTTGAATCGTTCAACATTTAATTGTCGATGATAGTAATACATTACCGCACAATATTACGATATTACATTAAAAAAAAACAGGAATAAAGATTGTTCATTTCTCACACCAGTTGTTGTCGCTGTTGTTGAGTGTCGCCCGTCAACTGTCAATCAATCTACGTGTAGTTTTTGTAACACTGCCGAATATTTTTGTGTTATTTTATAAATATAATTTTGGGAAAATTGGGGTAAATATAACAAGGACTTACTCATTAAATGACTGAGAAAAGATCTACCAGTTTTTAGTCACAGTCACAATGGGATCTTTTCATAACAATCTTTAAACCAACTAACTATTAGGTGCGACGTCGCCCGCTGCTTATGAATATCAGCCCCGTTGTTACTCAAAACTAGTAGAGCTTTTCTCAGTTAAGATACGTGAATAAAAAGTAATTTTCAATACTTGAGTTTGTCTAACGATAGAGACCTTTTAATAACAACATGGAAATCATGAGGTAGGCATTGCAGAACATATACACGAGACAGCATAGGTACTCGTCGGTGATAGCAACTTAATGTTAAGAATACTACTACTATACTTACTTACTATTTATACTTTGTGGAAATTCTTATTTAACTAATAATAATACGCCATTCATTATCTTTTTTTTTACCATTATGTTATGTGATAGATAAATAGCACTTAGATTGCGTTGTCAAATGTCGAAAAAAATTGCCCTTAAGTCGTCTACAAAAAAGTGTATTATCTCGTTTCTATGTGAAAGTTAATGAAATGAAAATATTAAATTGACAATTTGACCAAATTGTAGGTACCTGATTCAAGCCTGATTCCTAGAATTGAGTTAATAGTAGCGGCACACAAGTAAAAAGCACAATTTGTAATCAGTTATTTAATTTGACTATTATTTAGATAGCCATTTTTCTTATGAAGGCCGTGTTAGGATGAGGTTGAGTTCCGGGCTAATGAATAATTTTTACTATTAGGTACTTAATTTATTCCCAATTTTCTAATTTTTACCTTTGATAAGTATTTGAAATGACGTGCAAGATTTTTCGGATTTGATTTTATTATTCACAGTTCATAATAAACCAATACGACTATATTTTGGCATTATAATAAGAGTCCAATAATGATCACATAGATTCAACAACATTTTCATACTTCATGTGCCTTAAGACATCTTAAACCAGTAGTACATTGTTTTTATAATAACATGTTCAGTAGGCTGCGCGACGTCGCCGCGTCCGCGCACGCTGCTCATGAGGAAGAATCCCTCTGTGGTTCGAAACTAGTAGAGCTTTTCTCAATATATACACGTGAGTAACCCGCGATTTTTAGTTAATTTAGTTAATTCAGTAGTACATTCTATTGTTTTATAGGGTGTTAAGATAATGGATGATGTATTCTATTAGTGAACTATGTGGATTAGGTGGACAACTTAACCTTTCAATCGTGGTATTGTAAGACACATTAGTAAGACATGCGCTAACGGCGGCGTTTGCCGCATTAATATAATATATAAAGGCAAATATCAAAGGCTAGCACAATTTCTTACCTCTTCTTTTTTTTTATCTATGTTTCCAAATGTTGCCGTATTGTACATATTATGACCCTATTATTATCTACAAGCCCAACAGGCTGTATTCAAAACACCATGTGACACAGGATTCCGAACTTTTATTATTCAAATTACTTTTTTAAGGTATCCGCATAATTGGCATTTGTCGATACTTATACCCATTTTTCAAATATCAAAGATGCATAAAAACCCATAACACTATTTTTTGGCAATTCAAGTAACCAAATAGTAGGTCCAGATTCTTAGACTGATATTTCACACCCGAGTCTGCCGTTTCCTGAAATATGGCAAGAAGAAGATAATATAGGTCTAATATTATAATAACTCTATTATTATATACTCTAATAATCTTTTGGCCAAATCGGTTACTTAATCTAATAATCCGCGTTACTGTGACATGACATTCGATAAGTTGTTGAGTGTCCCATGTCAACTGTCAATCACGTGTAGATTTTGCAATCAAGCCTCATACATATTTTGCGGGACAAGCGCAATAAAAAACTGCAGCCTTAGCCTGGAGCAGGACAAAGTAGCAGTTTTAAGTCGAGAGTAAGAATCTGACATTCCCTCTCATCTCACCCTGAATGAGAAAGGATAATTTCCTCCTAAAAAAAAGTCCAAGTATTTTGGTGATATAATTTAAACACGAAGTCCATGCTTTGCAGAAATGCCTACTTAACTAGTTTTAAGATTACTGGATACATATTATCTATATTATATGTGTATATTATATAGCTAAAGAGTTGGTTTGTATGTTTGAACGCGCTAATCACCTGGAACAACTGGTTCGAATTAAAAAAATATTTTGTGTTAGTTAATCCATTAACTGAGAAAGATTATAGAACATCACGCTACGATCTGTAAGAGCCAGCAGCAAGTGAACCCGCGCTAAAGGAGCTAGTTTTTCATATTAATCTCATGTGATACAATAGAGATACATGTTGTTCAGCAGATTCTTTTGTCTGTGAAAAATAAAGAAGATAATGAATGTAGGGTTTAAGGTTAATCCATTAGGTAGTATCTGTCTATTGTCCACCTTGTTCCTGGAAATTTATTAATAACAGCGGCACATATGACGGGGTACTACTTGAGAGAGCCCAGAGAGTCTTGTATATGTTACGGCTAAAGGTAGGTGTGAACCTAAACTTAAGATTAGCCGGCTAAACCTAGGTTTATCTTCGACGAAATGTTAATGTTAGTTTGTTCTATCTTTAGCCGGCTAAACTTAGGTGTAGCTGCAGGCCCTTGGCTAAAAATGTAGAAGGAAATGGAAAAGGAAACAATGTAATAATGTTTACTATTTTGACACGAAAACTTTATTAAAAAATAATCACTTTCTTTACACATACTTTTATGTACTATGTAGGTATTCAAAGTAACAATTATTACAATTACAAAATTTTAATTAGTTTTTTTTTTGACATTCACACTATTACCCTAGTACCAAACTAAGCGAAGCTTGTACTATGGATACTAGATAACGGATAAACATACATAAATATGACAAACATCCATGACTCGGGTACAAATATTCGTGCTCATCACACAAACATCTGCCCCTAGCGGGATTCGAACCCGCGACCGTTTGGTCTTGTGACTAGCGTTACTAACCACTAGACCAAACGTGTCGTCGTAAAAACAATATTAACCTAATCATTAAAATAAAATAATAAGAAACCATTTGGTCATTACAGAATCTTCTGTAGGTATTTAAAATTACAAAATAAAACTTCTTCCACCGCCCGCGCCCCCTTAAGCCTTCCGCCGGCCCGGCGCGCCTATCGAATACATTTTTAGCCGTTTCGTTTCGGTTAATGTGCACATTAACCGGCTAAAGATGGAATATCACGACGCAAACTAACATGTTATCGAACTTTAGCTGCTTCTCGAAGATAAACCTAAGTTTAGCCGGCTAATCTTAAGTTTACGTTCACACCGACCTTTAGCCGTAACATATACAAAAAAGGGAGGGAGGATAGCACAATTTCTTATCAGTTATTTCTTTTCACAATAATTGTTTACTTGGTGACATGGAGACTTTTTCCGAGTCATACGTACTTTCAATGATTTTTAGACCCCATCCAATCCTTGAGCTAGCGTGGTAATTAATGCTCAAACCGTGCTGCCGGCAACGTGTTTTCGGTTTGGTTCCCGCACGCAACAAAACAACGTGTATTGTAGAGGGAGATAGTAAAAAAACAAATAAATAAATAAAGATGCAGAATTCATAGAATGAGTCGTTAGGTAGGTACTTTGCAGAAATGCATAGTTAAGTAAGTAATATTAATAAGTCTGCATTCATCATCTTTCATATTTTTGTTTTCTATTGTTCTCTTGTAAGTCAACGAAAACAAATGCACAATATGATAAAGAATCAATTAGTATTTGGCTACATTCCGATTCCTAGAATTTCATGTGTACACATTAAGGAGGGAAGTAATACAATTTCTTATCAATTATTTCGTTTGACAACCATTGCTTATCCTATTTGTTATGAGTACCTATCTATTTATGAGCCAATAGGATAGTTTCCAACTAGTCAAATTCAACACTTTTATTCAAATGTCAACAAAAACGATACTTTTCTATGAAATTTGAAATTTGTATGACACTCCAAATAATGACGAGATAGTGCGTTATTTAAGCGTCCAGTAGCTTAGGAACTTATTTCTTAAAAATAAGCTAAAAAATATAGAAAGTTTTGCGTATCGACAGATCGATGAATAAGAGTAGTAAGTTATTTTTCACTGTCTTATTCAATGACGTATTATGCATCATTGGTCTTATTATGATGAAACGTCGAATTATTATTTTTAGACCTAGGAAACTACACAATTATCTGAGTGTCCACTGGACACAATTCCTAACAGACAGGTGCCCAGTTTATTTACCTACGAAAAATTAAATTAAATAACTGTACATATTAATTAGATATTCAAATAATATTGACATAAAACTAGTACGCCTTACCATCAACTATTGCATCCCTGCTTACCATCAGGCGAGATTGCAGTCAAACATATAGATAGGCATATTTATCCGAATCATTCTGTCTTGCAAGTAGGTAGTATAAAAAATAGTAACATGTAGGTACTTACATTAATATTTTAGAAACACACACTTAAATAAAGATATTTAAGGATTACCTACTCGAATTTTCTAGAAAAGTCCAGTGTCGAATCACGACAGTGGATGTCTAATATTCTTGTTGAATTCTAATTTTTTTTCTTGTTTTATACCTATTCATCGTTTCAAGATGTAACTAAATACCTTAAATATGTATTGTTTAAATGATTTATCAATTTTAGATAGGTATCGCCGAAATGGACCCATAAATCAAATTGAACGTTGTTTATATAGTTCATAATTTATGTAAACGCTTCCACTGCATTTTATTGATCGACTGTGATATATAGGTAGGTACTTATTTATCATAATTTGTTTTGTACAAATCGATTGCAGACTCAGCGTGGGTTAAATAGGGATGCCAGACGTATTATAATTAAACGTATAAGTAATTAGGTACTAAATAATCATGTGCAAAATTGAGAGAATTATCAAACCCATTCTTCTAATTCAATGTGAATAGATTACCAAGTGTATAATACCATAAAAAAATACTGTTTAAACACTGGGATTCCTAAATCTATGAAATTTACAACAACAAAGCATTCAAATACATTTACAGTTAGGCATATTTAGTTATAACACAAATTCGAATTAAGTTAACTAAAACCTAACACTGAAGCCGCATGCACATCGTGTTGAAGAGGTTCAGCGCCTAAAAGTTATTTAATTACAAATTACTTGAACCATTCAAAAATGTTGTTTCGCAAGTAATATTTAACCTTTGCCATTTGCAACGGCAACGGATTTACGGGTTATCAGTTGTGCGATATTTTTTATCGATTAAGATAATTTATTTTCACTCGTCTGGCAACATTGACTAATAGTCAGGGTGGTGGGGTGCATCTCTATTCATTGTGCTTTTTCGAGTTGAATCTTTTTGTTCATTCAATCTAAGTTTTACGTTGGTTGACGGCGGTCACATTTTGAAATGCTAAGTCGAGTGAATTTGCTGACTTTTCAGTGCTAATCCAAGTTAAATTTTAAGTTTTTCCAATATTCTAACATTGTGATTCAACATGGGGTCTGATTATTACAAAGTGGACGTGGTACATTACATTAATCCCCATTTGATTTGGGTGATAACTCGAAAACAAGATGATGAATCGTTGTTTCACTTTGAACAAATTGGATTGTATGGTGTTTTACCGCAAAATGTGACAATCGATGTTGATTGTGTATTGAAAACGGAGGTCAGTGAGGAGTGGTTGCCGGCGGCTGTGGTGGCGATGACCAAGTCATTTCACGATGCCGCTGAAATTTGGTTTTCCCCTACCTACATCGACAAAAAGTAAGTACGAATTTTATTTCCATTAGATAAATCAAAAAATGTATTACTTACATCGATATCACACCGTTCCTTGCTTGTTTTACTCTCCAAATTGAGTTTTAGTGTTGTTTACAACAAACAGAAAAAAATACCGCGTGAAACTTTAGGAGCAAAATATTTTTGCTCAAAACCTGAAATCTATTTTTTAATTGACTATTACAATGTTCAGGGAAGCTAATTAAGTATTTTTGTAGATTTAGTTCATCAACAAGTTTTTTTATTCTAGAGTTTTCTAAGAGTTTGAGTCTGCATACCAACTTAGAAGTCATAATTTTATTAGAACAACATTGTCTAAAAATGTCTTACAATGTAAGTATAATACATACTTACATATAATTATGAAGCAGGACAATATATTATCATTTAAAGTCAGAATTAATTATTTTTATTATCAAAAGTGCTCCATTTAGTTTATCATTATCAGTTAGTCCTATAAAAAGTATGCATTCATGTGTTTCAAGTTTATTGTTGCAGTTTATTTATTGAAATCTATCTGCCTATGTCTTCAGAATAATTAATATCATACTTAATATTATTACTAAGTCCTTGTTTTAACTTTAAAATCCTAAGTATAAAAGTAACATTTGGATCCTTGTTTAAAATGATAATAAAGTCACATTTTTAAACAATAAAAGTAATAAAAATAAAATAAGAATATACCTACAAATTTGTTGTTTGTTATTTATTTCATAGGTACCAAGGCTAAAAGAATTCGAAAAAAAAATACCCCAAGTCAATTCCAATAATATATTACTTATTTAGATTCAAGTTTAAAAATAACACTATCGAAAAAAGTCACTTTTTTAAAGAATTACAATAATTATTATAAAAATTAATCATATCCAAAGTGAAGAATGTGTGTTTTTTTATAAATTGTATTCCTAAAAGAAACTAAAATGATTTAACAAAAAAAAAAAAATACCACAAGCCAATATTTATTCTGTATTTTTTTTTCTATTACCCTGTTTTGTTAAGGTACTCATTAGCAACATTGTTTGTTATTTATTAGTGTAGAATAACAAGCAAGAAACTTGATAACTGACTCTTTGCTAGTCTTATTAGCTAGAAAAACTGTAGTAATACCTATAATACATAATAATTTACTGAATTCCTTACTTACCATTTACTGCTTCCATGTATAAAAACATGGTCTTAATGACCGCTGCTTAGTTATATACACATATTATACTGCAGGTAGAGATTCAAATACAAATAAACAGTATCTAAATAGTCATTTAAGTAAATACTCAATCAATTTGAAACCTTTCTGCAGATACGCAAAACTCATTCATTGTCACCCAACCCAAGTGATTATTGCCACCAACCTATAAATTTAAAACAAGACATTTTTTAAATGCTTTCTTAGTACAAAGTTTAAAACTACAGACTATTTTAAACAAATGATCCTTACACAAACCATTTTATTTAATAGTTTTGATAGTTTATAATTTTTAAAGTACTATTTTATCCATAGACTGAATGAAGGTTGCCACTGCGGGCTGTACACAAAATAAACTATACATACATACATCTTACTAATATAATAAATGTGATAGTTACGATGTTAGAATGTTTGTAACTCAATCACACCCAAATGACTGAGTGGATCTGTATGGTATTTGGCACAGGCATAGGATACACTCCAGAATAGAACATTGGCTACTTTTTACCTACATACCACGCAAACGAAGCTAGTACAGAATAAACTACATATACAATATACATAACATTGCCATAATTAAATTTTGTAGATAATACAGGTATCTCTGTTTTTGCTTTCATGGTTCATGTAGCTCAAACAAGCTACATACCAGTTCAGTAAAGATACTTACCTATATATTTATTTCCTATTTACAAAGTCTTGTTTGTGTGCATGCATGTTGTGCATAAACAAACGAGACTTGTAACACAACTATTTTTAATATTATGTAAAACCTATTTGAATAGTGAACTTCATCGTTTACATTGTATAACTCCACAATTCAATACTAGATGTCGTTTTGCGTGTGATATTTTACATGGCGGTGTTAAGATTCTCTGCGACTTAATGACCCCTAGTTATCTTAATTCAATTTATAATTGGGTATTTAAACACTACTCAAGCTCAATAGCTGAATAGTTAAAATCTCAAGAGTTTGCAATTAATTCTATACATATTACCTACAGTACAATGGGGTGAATAGAAATTAAGGTGTTAAAAGATACAAGGAAAATTGACCCATCATCTATTCATCCTTTTTGTGTACCTATTCAACCCTCATGCACATGAATTTAGTTCTCTCATTATTTGAATCAAATAGCATTTAAGAAAATAGCTATAAAAATTTAATCATGTCATATGATTTATTAGTCTACATAGTGATATTTTTAAAAAGGCATTAAATGCTTGAAAAAAGAAATTATAAGGAGACTGAAATGTGATACTGTGACGGAAAAGTGGTTCAAACTCTTTGACATCATGACGTCAATGGATGGTTGTCAAACGTTGCCTAGAGATTGTAAATTTCGTCGTGAATTGTCAATACGAGTTGGTGTAATTGGTAAGGCGTGTGGATTACACCACAGAGACCCCGAGTTCGAGTCCCGCCGTAAACATGAAGTTTTTTAGTTGATGGAAGTTTTGTCGAACTTTCTGGAATTATTGTGTAAAAGAAATGAAAAATTAAAGAGCGAGAAGGAGAATAAATAAAAATGAATAACGAAATTATTGGAAGGTTCTGGAGGCATGACGATCAAAAAGAATAACGAAATTGAATGTTCCAGAACTTGACCGGGGGTATATAAGCGGAACTGCGGCTCACCGCTGGCAGTTGAGTTCTAAGTCTAAAGCGATTCGGAAGAAAAGGAAGAAGTGAAAAAGAAGAAAAGTGAGTGAAATAGTGAAGTGCAGTCAGTTAAGTGAGTTAAGTCAGCGTGAACGGCAAAGTTGTGTCAGTCGGCCGGACTCTGCTGGAGAGGAACGCCGATAACTTAACTCCGTGGACGCTGTAACTTAAGTGCAATAGAAAGTCTGAAAACCGGTATTAGTGTTTCATTTCATCCAATCCCGTAACCCAAGCCCGCATAGTCAGGAACGTGACGAGGCACGTAACATTTGGTGTCAGAAGTGGGATTGGATAAAAATGCCGCTAGTGCCGCAGGACGTAAGAGGAGTGAGTACCCGTTCAATGTCAGAAGCGCAGCGTGTGAGGGAAGAGGGTGCTGCAGCTCAAACCAGCGATGCAGAAGCCAAGCCTGTGCAGGTGGATCTTCTGCTACAGCTGCAGCACATGATGGCAGAGCAAGCGCGCCGCCAAGAAGAGCAAGCGCGCCGCCAAGAAGATCAAGCGCGCCGCCAAGAAGAGCAAGCACGCTGTCAGGCAGAACAGCTGCGGGAGCTGAAAGAAGAGCAAGCGCGCCGCCAAGAAGAGCAAGCGCGCCGCCAAGAAGAGCAAGCACGCTGTCAGGCAGAACAGCTTCGGGAGCAAGCACGCTGTCAGGCAGAACAGCTTCGGGAGCAAGCACGCTGTCAGGCGGAACAGCTACGGGAGCTGAAAGAAGATCAAGCTCGCCGCCAAGAGGAGCAAGCGCGTCGCTTGGAAGAGATGCATAAGGATTTCACGAAGGGACTGCAAAAGGCTGTCGAACGGGTACAAGAAGTGGAGGAAGGGTTAGGCAAGTTGGAACATCGCGTCATGGCGATAGAGGAGAGAGTGAAAGAAGAGATCTCCAAAATCAAGCAGGAAGTGACAAGCCCAAGCCCTTTGAAGAGCCGAAGCCGTCTTGCAGCCGTTTTTGACGCCCCAAGTGTGGCCTCAAGCGCAACGAAAGGGCTCAAGATTCCCCATTACGACGGAACAACATCCTGGAACGCGTTCAAGCTACAGTTTGAGACACTTATGGAGGCTTATGGTTGGACTCAGAAGGAAGCACAGTCAGCCCTCACCCTGGCCCTCCGTGATCAAGCGCTCTCAGTGCTGGAAGCTATCGGCGCAAGTGGGGATCTCAGCTTAAGTGCCCTCCTCGACGCACTTGAGGCACGTTTTGGAGACAGCCACCTCGAGCACGTGTACAGAGCGCAATTAAAAGAGCGTACTCAGCGTGCTAATGAGAGCCTACAGCAATGGTCCGTGGAAATCGAGAAACTTGTGCGTCGAGCTTTCCGGTCGACTCCGTCAATGATTGAAGGCACGCTTCTCCAAGCGTTCATTGACGGTATTCGGGACCCCGAAGTACGAGCTGCTGTTCATCTGGGCCATCACAAGAACATGAAAGAAGCTCTGGCCCATGCATTGGAAGTGGAAGCTGTGCGTGGTAACTCCCGTACCTTATGTCTGCGGGAAATGACGACTACGGAGCAGGTACCTCCACGCCATCGGAACTTCATGTGCTATGGATGCGGAGAGCGTGGGCACATGCGGAGCAACTGCCCGAAGAAGGTGAACCGCCAGGACGCGGCGGTCTCAACTTCTGACCAGCAGGGAAACTAATTCCAGCCAGGGCTGCGGGGTGGGCGCTGGCCGGTAGTGGAATAACCCCAACAATCTACATCAAGCAAACTAACGATGGAAATACTCTGGTGATAGACGGTCAAGTAAATGGGAAAAACAGTCAGCTAACATTAGATACTGGAGCTTCAAGGACGGTGATAGATGTTCGGCTGCTCGGGCAAAACATCAGGAAACACGTTAAACCAATTGTTGGCCTACGAATGAAATCAGCTACCGGCCAGTGGATACCGATAAGTGGAAAACTGCACGTAACAATCAAAATTGGGGAACGTGTTTATCGACATGAGGTTATTGTGGCCAAAATTCTGGATGACTGCATCCTGGGACTTGACTTCCTGCAAGGGCACCAGTGTAACATCGACTTAAAATCTGGAGTATTACTATGTGGAACTGAGGAAATTCCGATGAAGGGTGGAACCCTGGGAAAAGTTTGCTGTTTAAGAAGAACTGTTCTTGAACCAAAATCACAGA